AGAAACCTCAACCTCTTGGGCTTAAATGATTCTCTTGCCTCAGCCTCCCAAAGAGCTAGGACTACAGTGCCTGCCACAATGCCTAGCTATTTTTTTGTTGCAGTTATCATTTTTGTTTAGCTGGCCAGGGCTGGGTTTGAACCTGCCAGCCTCTGTGCATGTGGCTGGCGCTGTAACTGTGCTACAGGCACCGAGTTATTGAGCTTTATTTTTTGACCTTCAGGGTAAAAGGCTACAATCAGTGGAGGTAGGAAAGAACATAGCATGACCTTTTGCACAGTGGTGCCACTGGGAGTATGTACCACAATGACCCAAAGGGACCTGGCACCTCCATACCCCACAGTCCTACTTGGAAAGATTCTCTCCCCGGATTCTCTCTTCATGCAATCCTTAGGAGCTATATTTAGGGACATCTTATAAAAATATCTTTTGACCCACATGGTCCTAGGAGAGTTGTCAAAATCCTCTATGTCCTTGAGACCTGCCCTGTGTGCTAAGCATCTCTGTGGGCTTTGTCTGTGCACCAAATGGGCACTTATTGACTACGGTATAAAGTGCTAGGGTACAAGGACAGAGATTGAGTCTGGCAATGTCATGCATGGCTCCAGTGGATTCTGGAGCCATGGTCAGGGCTGCCCAGCTAAGGGTTGGTTGGGCCCTTCAGGGAGCGACGCAGCTTCCTGAGAGTCAGGATGACACGGTGCCTCTCCACTGGGGCTTGGAGAGCAACAGGCCTATACCTAGGCACACCTAAAATCCAGATCACAAGCTGGCACCTTGCTCTCCAAATGCTGCTGATCCCCAGGGCATAGCATGCAAATGTATTTTTTCTAGAGTCTTTCTGAAAAGCCACATCTGGCATTCTAGAGGAAGGTCTCAGCTGCAAGTCACCTGGGTGGTGTTAGTGGCACTGCTAAGCCAGAGCTTCAGACAGACCCTCCCTTTCTGACCATAACTTAGAACCTTTGAGGCCAGTATAATTCCCCAAGTAGTATTATTTGTTCAGGAAATTATTACAAGTAATTTGCCTTATTTAATCATGTGCCAACATACGGGTGAGAGGGCATAAGTCGATCAAGAGCCATATTCAGGTAACAGTGGTGTTCAAATGTTCCCAAGGTTAACTGGTATGTTTATCACATGTTCAAAGCTATAACAAAGTTAAGAACCAACACACACAGACCTTTAGTCAAATTCTGCAACCTAGGAAGCCCAAACCTTCCACCCCAATGGGAGGTAGAACCAGATCACTGGGACAAAAGTCACATGGGACACTCTGCAAAACAATTACGAACGCAGCTATTGGCAGAACCAAAGACTTTATCCCCAACTAATGCTGTTTACATGACTACAACCCTTAGTCAGGAAGGGGGTATCACTGCTGGGATTATCTCTTTTTTTTTTAGAATTCCCTACCGCACAGTGCTCTTGGTCACACACACCTGCTTGCTGAATGTTGTTTTGTAGACAACAGACTGTGTGCTTAGGCACAGAACTGGTTAAGGTGCCAGGCCATTCTCTCGGGAGAAGATGCCCATGGCCAATCATCCCTTGGGGGCACATTGCTGCAGAGTTCACCTTTGCCTTAATGCAAAGCACTTCTTGGGTTTTGTGATCAGGAATGCCTTATGGTTAACTGGCTTTATGGATAAAGAGCAATCCAAAACACAGATAAAGGAGGTGGCTGGCATAGGTGCCCCCCTAAACTGAAACAGACCCAGAAACAGTCAGGAGATGTGCTGTCCCAAAGTAGCATTCCAGCTGGCCCTGGGCCCCTGCCTCCACCTCTCTGCACGGATCAATATTAAGGGCACCATCTGCACTAGGGAGCAAAAACTATCACAGGTTACACAATCATTGCCCAAACTTAAAGGAAATAAAATGAGAAGGTGACTCTTTGCCCTGGTTTTCATGATTAGATAACATCCCTCATCTTGGTATTTAATGAGTTATCAAAGCATTTGCAGAAAGTCCTGAGTCCAGACCTTGTTTAGTTTTTCCAAGAGTTGTTTTTTTTTCCACATAATTAATTCCTGAGTATACACATCATTGTTCTCTGCAACTCTGGGTCACAGGGAAACAGATCAAGGCCGTTGAGATGTTCTGTGGTGTGTCCAAGGTCACAAGAGTCTTGTCTATCTTGAGCAAAGCTTTTAAAAGAGGAAGGGGCCGCAGTTTTTGTGTTTTCCCAGAAGGCACAGGCAATTAATTAAGACCAGCAGACAGAGCGGAATCAAAGCACTTTCTAGCAACCTGGCTTCCAGTTCCTCCAGATGTAAGAGGGATGTGGTAGTTCTTATAGGGGCTTTTAATAAAAATTAGGTGCAATAATTAATGTGAAGTAACTAACATGGTGCCTGGCATGTCACTGGTGACCCATGGAATATGCTGTCACTGAGTACGGGAACTCAGCAGACACAGATCACCAAGATTCCTTCTAACTGCAACGTTCTGAGAGCCCAGGGTAAATGTGGACTTCATACCCATAAGGACACCCCAATTCTGAGACTTTCTAAATCTAAGACAAGTAAGTTTGGAAAATCAGGTTACATGAAATTAAACAGCCAGTTTTCCCTTCATAAGCTGTCAATTGAAGATTTCCTTTATGTTACCTCCTGTGGTCTGAGTATTTCACTTCTCAACTGGGCTGCAGGCCCCGGGTACAGCATTTTAATTATCATCTTGGGATAAAAATGCTGCCCTGGCTGGGGGAGAGGTGGCACTGTTACGGTGGGCCAGTGTGTGGGACCCTGTACCCTGGCAGGGGACAGCATCAATATTGGCAGGGTACTCCAAATAAGCAGGGGATGTCAGTCTAGGATGCTAACATAGAGGTACAGCAAAAGTCACATGTGTAGCATAAGAGGGCTAATCATCCCCTGATGAGATGTGCTGGCCCAGGTGCAACATCTCAGCATTGTCACATACTAGATGCTACATATTATTAACTCCCAGGATCACCAGCCTGGACCAGGGGTCCTCAAACTTTTTAAACAGGGGGCCAGTTCACTGTCCCTCAGACCGTTGGAGGGCCGGACTGCGGGCCCAGGATGAGTCAGCTGCTAAGGTGGACAGGCAGCAGCGGCAAAAACACCCAGTGGGCCAGATAAATGTCCTAGGTGGGCTGCATGTGGCCCATGGGCCGTTGTTTGAGGACACCTGGCCTGGACTGACTATACCCAAGAAGGGAAGCTTCTTTAATATGCTCCCTTCCCCTGAGAAGCTCTATCCCAAACCATCTGTGGTGAAGGACCTGTGGGTTGTTTGGGTGTTGCTTTGTTTTTAAATTCCATTTCATTGTGGAATGACACTTTTGTAAAATTCAATAAAAAAGAAATAGATCACCGGGCATTTTGGTGGGCACCTGTAGTCCCAGCTACTTGGGAAGCTGAGGCAAGAGAATCGCTTAAGCCCAAGAGTCTGAGGTTGCTATGAGCTGTGACACCATGGCAATCCACCCAGGGTGGCATAGTGAGACTCTGTCTCAAAAAAAAAAAAGAACTAGAGTAATAAAATTACAAAGACATATATAATCAGGGTAAAATATAAGCCCCGATAAAAGAGGCCTTGGAAATATTCTAAAGACCTTCTGTTTCTTTTACAGATGGGGAAAGTGAGCGACTTCCTCATCGTTACATAGCTAATCAGTGGTTTCACTGGGGGTGGGCTCAAGTATCCCTTCTGGGACACTCCAGGTGGTTCCCACCAAAGTCTGTGGTCCTGATCAGGCCCTCTTTCTTATCTTGACATTAGCAGATGAGGGGAAATAAGGTTCTGGCCTTGGATGAAAAATTTTAGGGGGTTCCCAAAACTTAGACATCAAGGGAAATAATATTTTAATGCAGTATTTTTCTAAAAACCAGAATTTAACATAAAGACGGGATCAGTCATGGTGCTGCACTATCTTTTTGATATTTTGTTTAGCACAGATCTTACTGCCTTCATTTTGAAAAGGAGGACATATGTAGGGCATTCAGAAGCAACGGGTATCAGGAGTCCTGATGTGGGCAACACTGTGTGGACACACCACATTTGGCTATCAGCCAACACAATGATGGGCACGCTCAGGTGGAGAGGAAGATGAGAGTTTTCAAAAAGGGCCCCAAAGCACGACAATTACTAGGTTCCCTCCACTTGAAGATTCCACTGATTAGAAGACACATGATCAATTTATTAGCATCATTTTAGAAGAAAAAATGGCTAGTTTCTTCTGACATCATCTATAAGAATCACCCAGATTTCAGAAATATTAGCATGTAGGACTGATTGTTTTTCCTCTGCTTTTATACCACAATTGCCACCACAATCAGAAAGGCAGGGAGTCCTGTCTTGGGCTGGCGAAAGGAGGGCAGGGGAAGGTCAGAGAGAGACATCCTGTTTTCTGAGGCCTAAAGCTCCCCAATATTGTAACAAAAGACTGTAACAAGGCTTATGGGAGTTATGGGCCAGGATCTGTAGATAAAAATGTACATGGATCTTTATTTCTGTATCTCATCAGAAGGACACACACACACACACAAAAACCACACCCCAAATACCAGGCTCTTAAAATGCAGGCAATACAGTAAAATGTTTAATTTGGGGCTCGGCGCCTGTGGCTCAAGAGGCTAAGGCACTAGCCATATATACCTAAGGTGGCAGGTTCAAATCCAGCCCGCTGGCAAAACAACAATGATGGCTGCAACCAAAAAAAAAAAAAAAATAGCCAGGCATTGTGGCGGGCATCTGTGGTCCCAGCTACCTGGGAGGCTGAAGCGGGAGACTCGCTTGAGCCCAGGAGTTGGAGGTTGCTGTGAGCTGCAATGCCACAGCACTCTACCCAGGGGGACAGCTTGAGGCTCTGTCTCAAAAAAAAAAAAAAAAAAAGAAGTTTAATTTGGGAGGCACTAAGTCTGTACTACAACAAAATAAACCCAGAGAACACATTCAATTTATTAACAAATGACTTTACCTATTAATATGCAAATCAATGGATAAAAGCACACATTATAACAGTTGCTAAAAATTGCTCCACAGAACAAATATTTATTATGCGAAGTAACACTGTGGCTCCCTCTTGCTTCCTTCCCTGGGAGGGCCCTGCCCAGTGGCAGCGCCTGGACACACACATCCCAGCCACCCACCACTTGCTCCCTTTCTGATCATCTCTCCTTTCAAAGCCAGTTCTCATCAAATGGAGTGATTTAAGCACTCTGGCAAATCATCATTTTGACAGGGATTACAATTTTAAGCTAAAGAGGTGACACAATGACAACTGAGAGTAATTTTCATTGGGTGAGGGCAGTTATCACTTTATCCTTCAAACTACACGACGTAGGCTAAAAGTCTAACCTCTTCTATCTCTAACCAATGTCTTGAACATTTTGTGGAATAAGTCCCCTAACAAGGAGCCACCAGGGAAGACCAAGATATTCTACACCTGTGGAACTGGGATGGCTACTTGATGGTAGAACCCAGACAGTGTCCCCCCAGCACCTCTGCCCCTGTCAGGCACTGCTCTGGGACTGGAGGAATCATCCAGGCTGGTTTCATTCTGGATTAGAGAGCAGGGGCGAAGAAGAAAGATTTTTAACCTACTCCTGTGAACCACAGAGCCACTCGCACTATAGGGATTTTACACAAACTTCTGGAACAGGGAAAGATGGCTGAACCAAGGGCTGCTTCTCTCCCTGGGAGGCGGGCCCTTTCCTACCAGGTGCTCCCTAAAGTGGGCTAACCATGCCCCTTCTAAGAACAGGGCCACAGCACAAGCCTGAAGAGGAGTTAAGCCCATCTCCCTACTGCCCCTCACCCCTGTATCTCCAAAAACCCCCAGACCCCTTCATTTCTTTCTGTGGTGGCCTCCCTGCATTACTGATTACCGGAGCAGCTGACCTGACTCAGCATTCGAGTGGCTCAGGTGACCTTTGGGATCACCACGTCCTCAGAAATTTGAGGAGGGGTGGGTGGGGGAAGAGTCGGCGAAACCAGCACTCACCCTTCATCCAACTCTAGAGCCACCGAGAGGCCATCAGGGGCCACATCTAGGGGTGGAACCAGACCCCCCCCTCCATCCCTCAGGAGCTCTAGCCACTGGGCGGTGCCAGATCCTCTGCTGGCCGGCTCCAAAGTGCCTCGGCAGCACGTGGCGCCCTTGCGCAGTTTTCGGGCCTCTCCTTCACCTCCATCTTTCTGCAGTATTAGGAACCCCGCGTGTTTCCAACGTGGGGACGCGCGCTTACCCGATCCACTGCATAACTCGATAAATCCGTATAAAGCTAGATTGGGGGGCGGAGGTTAAGCCCTCACTCACCCAGCACCAGAGACCGCTCTCTGGGACCGGCGTGACCGCAGAAGCCACGGTTCTCCTCCCAGCACGTGCCGGCCATCGTGCAGCCCGCCGAGAGCGGGATTTCCACAGCTGCTGGGTCTGCAGGGGGCGGGGTGCGGTGCGTATGTACCGGGTAGGGCATGTACAGACACTGGGCCACGACGTGGATCAGAAATCGGCTCCGAGCGTGCCCCGAGCCGGCGCGGCAGCGGCGGACAGCACGCCGGGACCGGAGCGGCGTTCGCGGCAGGGAGCGGGCCAGCAGCGCCGCACGCCGCGCACTTCCTGTTCAAGGCACGCCGCCTTCCACCGCGCGGCGCTCCCGGGGCCTGCGTCTGTGCCAGGCCCGGCCCTTCACCAGCCCCTGGGTGTCCCCCGGTGGCGGCGTGACGAGGGGCGAAGAACAGGCGCCCTGCCCTGGTGGGTCCGCGGGGCTCCGGCCACAGTCAGAGCGTGAGTTCGCAGCCCCGCCACAGCCCAATAGCGAGGAGGGCTCGCCCTTGCGCCTCCTCTCCCCCCGCCTCCCTCTCGCCCAGAAAAGAGGACGTCCCTCGTTCCCGTCTCCGAGCTGGCTTATTCTGCGGCCGAGGATTATATTTATATATGAACTGTCCCGTTGTCGCAGAGGTTCCACTCGGGCGCCGGCACCAGAGGGAGGTTTTCCAAATTACAGCTTTTAATTGCACCTGCCCTACAGATTACCTCTGGGAACCTGTGGGAGGAGCCAAAAGCGTGGAAAATGTTGCTTCGCCTTGCAAAAGGAAGAAAACTTTGTCACCCAGCAGAAGACCTCGGCCACGCGTAACCCGGCGAGCGCAGAGCTGGGAGCGGCGCTGGCGGAGTTCGCATCGATGACTCCGTAGGAGAACGAGGACTCGAGCTACCTGCTCCACCCTCCCTCCCGCGGAAGTCCCCACGAGGTGTCTTCAGGGAGAAGGACAGTAAAAAAGAGCGCGCGGCCCCAGTCCGACGGCAGCGGCTTGGGGTGGGAAGGAGAGGACCGAATCCCAGGGACTAGTCACCCGGAATTAACTTCTGCTTAGAGTTATGGGAAGCGCGGCCATGGACACCAAGAAAAAGAAAGATGTTTCCAGCCCTGGCGGGAGCGGCGGCAAGAAAAACCCCAGCCAGAAGAGGCGTTCACTGCGAGTGCATATTCCAGTGAGTCCCAGCCCCGCGGTTCTCCGCTCCCCAACCCTCCAGTCGCTCCCGATCCTGGCGCCGAAACGGTTAACGCGGACGCCCCGCGCGCCGTGCGTGCCCCTCCTGTCACTTCGGCGGCTCGGCGGGTGGAAGGCAGGCCCGAGCTGGGCCACCGAGCTGGGGCTCGATCTCGTTCCCCATCCGCGTGCAGCGGGGGCTTGGGGCTGTGGCGGGCGGCTACAGACGCGAGGGGGCGCGGGGCTCCCTGTGGACAGGGCGCGGCGGGTGGGCTGCTGGGCGTGGCCCGGATCCCTGGGGGTGCGGGTGCGGGGGGCGGTGCGCTGTGTTGTTTTGCTGAAAAAGGACGGTGTGGACTGCGCTCTGGGGAGGTGGAGCCCGTGCGCCACTGCCGGAGACCGCGCTCAGGGAAGGGGAGGGGCAGGAGGTGGGGACAGCAGCCCGGCTGGGGGCTGCGTAGCTGCTCACTGGACCTCCTCCCCAATTTCCCTCGGTGTGTTTCTGGGGTCTGGCTGGCACTCCTCTGCAGCCCTTCCTTTCGTCGCTCCCGGGAGCGTATTTCGGGCCTCCATGGTATTTGGTGGGGCTCGGGGCTCTCTAACCCGTGCAGGGCTGCACGGACTTCAGCCCCAGCCACGCCGGCAACAAGCGCTTGGACTTTGGCGACTTCAAAGGGTCTGCGGCTTGACTTTGTCCAACCAGAAAGAGCGGTGGGCTGGGTCTTGCGTCCTCCTCTCAGATGGCCCGCCCAGTAGCCCTTAGTCTCTTGTACTCCCGGTAGTGGGGTTGGGTGGTAGGACCTTTACCGGGAGGGAGCCCCCAGCTGTGTCACACCTAGTGCCTCATCCCACCAAGTAAATGTTTGTACACACATACACGCCCACCCCCCATAACAGATGGAATAGAAGGCTCCATGGATAATGTTATTTTGCTCTCTGTCCCGGATGGCGGGTCTAGGGCAGAATAGGAGTCTAAAGTGAGTCCCACCTTCCTGCTGGGCTGCCTGGACACCTCATTAAAGCTAATCCTGCCCTACAGCGGTGCCTGGTCCCGACTTTCCACTGTGAATCCCGCAGGAGCACTTTCCTCCATGTGTGCTGAGTGCAGCTCTTCCTTTAGAGTTTCCCCAAGGTCCTTCTGTTTAAAATTTCTGGTCTGTGTGTATGTGTATGAGAAGGCAGAGTCGAGGGAGTGAGTTCTAAACACTGCTGGGGAGCAGCCTGAAGTGGGAGCCTGGGCCAGCCCTTCCCGGGATAGAGAGCTCAGGGATGGGTTAATTTGGACCCCTGGTTGTTGTGTGACCACTGTGGTGGTGGTAGAATGGTCAAGAATATGCATTCTGTTTGAAAACTAAATATTTCTGTTTATATCTCTTGTGTAAGACATTTGAAAGGTACATTCCTAAATGAAAAGTTAGACACTGCTGCTGCAAACCTCTTTTTGACAGTGGTCACTTTGAGCCAGTTAACCACTCATCTGTCCCATTTGTCAGCTGGAGAAAATGATACCCATTTTGCCTGCTTTACAGGGATGTTTAAATGAAATAATTTGTGGGAAGGCATTTATAGATTTAAAGCGTTACATAGCTGTATGGCCATTATACAGCCACTAGATTACCTAATTAGATGGAGAGAGAGAATAATAAGAGCACGGATGGGCCATTTGGTACTGAGGCCAGTCCGAAGTGCTGTGTGTGAGTGTGTGGGTGTGCTGTCCGGGGTGGTGCCAGTGGTGTAACACAAAAATCCAAAACCAGAAAAAGGATTGAGAGTCAGGCTGTGAACATTGAAAAACCATGTAATAGTTGGGATATTTGGACCACCCTTCTTGCTGCTAGTGGTGACTTTGGCAGCTTTTTACAACATTCCTGGCATGATCTAGCGCTTACCAAGTAGCATTCATTCAGTTATTCAACAGCGGCTAACCGAGTGTGCCCAGCGCTCTGGTTATGGTGAAATCTGGTTGGGGGTGTGTGGAGGAGAGGGACTCGGCCTAAGTCCTCACAGGGTTTATGGTGGCTGGTGGGACCAGGGATATTGCCTATTGATAATTGTGCCAGGCTAGGTGAGAGTTATAACTGAGCTGGGAAAATAAGGCTTCTGGTCAAATGCTGGCAGGTGAGCCAAGGTTGTAAGATGAGCAGTACAGAGAGCACCTGCTTCTGGAGATGGAAGAAGGGGAGTGATATGTTCAGAGAGACTTTAGACCCAGATGTGATAGGCAGGAGAGAGACATTTGGGAGTGTGGGGGGTGCTCCCAGCGGGGAACCAGCCTCAGCACCCCATGGGCCCCCACGGAACCAGGGCTTTGGACAGCTGCTTCCAGGTACAGTGAAGAGCTGCTTCTCATGGAGACAGGGGTTTGCAAATCAGAGTCATGGGAAGTGGACTGAGACGGGATCAAGCAGGGCCGTGACACAGGGTTGCCAGATTTAGTGACTAAAAATACAGGTAAGTTTGAATTCTAGATAAACAATAAGTAATCTTTTAGCATAAATATGTTTCCACCCAATATTTGGGATATATTTATACTAAAAAATAATAATCGTTTATGTGAAATCCCAGTTTAACTGGATGACCTGTACCTGACTTGGCAACCCTGCCTAACTTCCAGTCTCTGGGACTGAGGACTTCCTTGCAAAGAGATGGAGAAGCTACGGCAGACGCCACTGTGGCCTGCCCTTGAAGCCCAGGCCCAGCCTGAGTGAACCTGCAGTCTTAGGGGATAGCATCTCACTTGTCTTTCTCTTGCCTGAAAGAGTCCTGTCAGACCTCAGTAGCATGCTCAGCATAGTGCAGGGACCCCTGGAAGCGCTGGATTGTGCCCTGAGGGGTGTCACCCTAGGAAGGCTGTAGTTGGTGGGATAGCCCAGCCTCCTCATTCCTCCTAAGGATGTGGGCTCTGCAGGGTGCCTTAGAGTCCCTCCCTCCTTATTGCCCACAGCAGTGGCTCATTCATTAATGTCCCTTCTTGACTTTCCTGGCCAGTTCCTGTCTCACTTTCTCTGTTCCCTCACTGGCAATCTCTGGAATAAACTGCTGAACCTAAGTCCTTGTCTGGGCCTTGTTTTTTATTGTGGGTGGGGGTGGGGCTGAACTAAGAAATTATTAAGGGTGATGAAAACAATGCTTCATGAGAATTAACTTAGCAGGTGTATGAAGTGGAGTGATGGGAAGATGGCCAGTATTGAGGGAGCCAATTCAAATGTCTTTGGCAAGATTCCAAGGGTAAGGGTCTAGGCAGGGCCTGAACTGTGGTCACCAGAGAGAACCCGAGAAGGCAGACACAAGAAGGGAGGGTGGTAAGCCTCCGTCTGGCTCATGGCTAGGGAGACATGGCTTGAGTCAGCAGGAATTGATTTAGAGAGATGTGGTATCAGGGACTGTTTGGCGGGGGAAGAAATGGTGAGTCCAGTCATAGGCCTGACATGCCTGAGCTGGGGACAGTACATCCATCCTCCCACATCAGAGAATTGTGTCCAGGGAATGCCATTGCCAAGGATGTCTTGGATGCTAAGGAAATGTTCCTGAGACACTGTGGTTCTGGCAGGCCTGTGAGTAGTGTCATTTTGTGGCCCCCAGGGTCCAAGCAGATTGTTGAATTGGGTCCAGTCTCTTTTGGGATATCAGCCTCTACCCTATATTTGTTGTATAAGCAGAACCATAGCTTAGTGTGGGAGGCATCACTGCAGACACCCTGTCTCATCTCTGATTATCTTTAACTGTCTTTCTTCCCTTCTTGCCAGGTACTAGGAAAGAGGAATCCATTTTAGGGGTACCCTAAAATGGTTGCTGGGTAGCAGGTGATGGAGACCCAGAAGTACCCAGAACTACTAAGTAAACTTTAAGGTGAATTTCCCTTCCTAGAAGCAGAAGATGGCCCTTGGGCCTACTGAGGACATGGCCTAGCTTGAGTTTAGCCTCATTCTCAGGCAGTGGGGTCTTGTCAGAGGAGAAGGGAGGACCCAAATGAGAGGATAAGGAAGAACTGAGAGCAAATTCCTTCTGGGGTTACAGGGCCTTTAAAAGTAGCCTGTGAGGCCAGGCTCGGTGGCTCATACGTATAATCCTAGCCCTGTAGGAGGTGATCGCTTGAAGTCAGAAGTTAGAGACCAGCTGAACAAGAGTGAGACCCCATCTCTACCAAAAACAGAAAAAATTAGGTGGGCATCCTGGTGTATGCTTATAATCGCAGCCACTGGGAAGGCTGAGGCAGGAGGATAGCTTGAGCCCAAGAGTTGGAGATTGTAGTGAACTGTGGTGATGCCACTGTACTCTACTCAGGGAGTAAGACTCTGTCTTTAAAGTAAATAAATAAATAAAATAAAAGCAGTGAACGGTTATAGTGTTTGAGTCATGGCTGGCTAGCATGCAGCCTTATATCTGCTCCCAGCCTCTGTGCCTCATGGAAAGCAGGGATTATGAAGGTGGTGGGAATGGTTTGAGGAGATAATTCATTGGAAGCATAATTGGGAGTGGTGTTCAGAACTTAAAGAACAAACATGTTTTTTCTCCTTTTTGCCTAAGAAAGCAGCATCCCTCTAACACTGGAATGCATATATCTAATACACGTGCCTTAATCAGTGACAGGTGGCTGGCATATCGTGGGTTACAAGCCAGTGGTGAAGAAGGAGGCCTAGGGCAGGGAGGGCTTGGTGAGAAGAACCTGAGGCCAGAGCCTGTGGGGATATTGAGGCAGGCTGGGAGGGCTTCGGTGTTTGCTATTGAGTGGGGCACTGTACAGGTGCCCCTGGCCTCCTTGGGAGAGGTGCTCTAGAAAACCTTCAAAGTCTTGGAGACAGTCTAAAAATAGATCCAAGAGGAGCTGGCCAGTCATGGAAGCTTGTGGAGATAGGGCTTGGGCAGCCTGTTGACTCACGATGTCTTGTGCTGCTGCATGGCCTTGGGGGAAGCCTCCTACTGCCTGAGGCCTTGTACCTCTGTGCTAATGATGGGCCTAGGACCTTTACACTCAGCTCCTGCTTGGTAGCCTCTGTCCAA